CACCTGTTAGAACCCTAATAGAAAGACATAGAGAAGAAGAAAGAAGGGGAGAACAAGAGTTCTAAAGAGGATTAAAGATCAAACCTAGCTTCTCCAAGAACATCAAGGTAGGGGGTTTTCTTTCATTCTTGTCCATTGATGCTAGGGCTAATATATATGTATTCTTTGACTCTAAATCTTGTATATTTGCTATGAAATCATCTTTTCTTGGTCTTCTTGCAAAAATTACATGTTTTGAACAAAGTTAGGGTTGAATACCCATGAAATCTCTTTTCTTGCTTCAAAACCCTAGTTTTTGGAGAGTGATGCATTTTCTTCTTAAATTCTTCCTGGCCTAATTCTGGGTCTTGGACAACAGTACCATTGCAGCAAAACTCCTTCTTGAGGTCTTTAAGTATCTTATTGTAGCTGAATTATTTCTTCAAACCCTGCACAGTTGTCAGGCTCTTCCGACCATTCCGTTGCTGTATACGGATGTGCACATACTCTTTTGATGACCTAGCGCCAGAGTCCTTAGCATTTGCCTTAGCAAAGGGATCTAAAGAACAACATGAAGAAATGAATATATAAACCTTCCAAAAATATAGATCAATAAAAAGAACTCTCCATTCCCAACCCCCTTCCTCCCCTCCTTTATTAAAACCAAATTTTATTTATGTAAACAAGAATCCTTTCTTTCTATATTCTTCCTTGCACTTTTCCATATTCATATTCATTTACTTGATCATTTAGGAAAGAGAAAAGGGTCATGTACATTCTTAGAATTGATCAAAAGAAAATAGCAAATAACTAGACAAAACAAATCTACCATAGTTTGAAAAGGAGAGAAAAGGGGTGGAGGAACATATTTACCAAAAGTTGAAGGAATCTGGGTGTCGAAATCAGACATGAAACTTGGCTGATGAAATCAAAGAGTCCAAACACACAAAAATTAGCCTGTGCTTAGTTCAGATGCTCAGGCCTGGATAGAAGGAGAGGGTCACATTAGAATGAAAACACAAAATCATATTTTGAAAGCATGAAACAAAAGAACAACAATCTTTTTTAGACATAAAAAATACACATAAGGAATGTCTCATGTTTTCACCGGAAACATTATCAGAAACAGTTGTAATATTGAAAAGATAATCTTGACCAGGTGCCATCTAAAAAATAAGATTCAAGATGTCTTATTGTGTAACAATTCTGGACAGTTTCCAATTCGCCTATGTGCAACAAACATGCCAATTGAAGATATTAGTTTCCCACTAAGGTAACCAAGGACATGAAAAATCAAAATATCATTTTTCCAATATTTTACACCAATTGGTAATTTGGTATCTCAAAAATTTCCCAGAAAGCTTGAACTCCCATAAGAAAAGTTCCAAGATTGAATAATCTTATCAAACCAACAAGGCCTAAAGACAAGCAACAAAAGTAAAAAAAATAAAAAAAATTAAGAAACTACAACCCAAAGCCAATAAAACAGTGCTGCTANTACCATTGCAGCAAAACTCCTTCTTGAGGTCTTTAAGTATCTTATTGTAGCTGAATTATTTCTTCAAACCCTGCACAGTTGTCAGGCTCTTCCGACCATTCCGTTGCTGTATACGGATGTGCACATACTCTTTTGATGACCTAGCGCCAGAGTCCTTAGCATTTGCCTTAGCAAAGGGATCTAAAGAACAACATGAAGAAATGAATATATAAACCTTCCAAAAATATAGATCAATAAAAAGAACTCTCCATTCCCAACCCCCTTCCTCCCCTCCTTTATTAAAACCAAATTTTATTTATGTAAACAAGAATCCTTTCTTTCTATATTCTTCCTTGCACTTTTCCATATTCATATTCATTTACTTGATCATTTAGGAAAGAGAAAAGGGTCATGTACATTCTTAGAATTGATCAAAAGAAAATAGCAAATAACTAGACAAAACAAATCTACCATAGTTTGAAAAGGAGAGAAAAGGGGTGGAGGAACATATTTACCAAAAGTTGAAGGAATCTGGGTGTCGAAATCAGACATGAAACTTGGCTGATGAAATCAAAGAGTCCAAACACACAAAAATTAGCCTGTGCTTAGTTCAGATGCTCAGGCCTGGATAGAAGGAGAGGGTCACATTAGAATGAAAACACAAAATCATATTTTGAAAGCATGAAACAAAAGAACAACAATCTTTTTTAGACATAAAAAATACACATAAGGAATGTCTCATGTTTTCACCGGAAACATTATCAGAAACAGTTGTAATATTGAAAAGATAATCTTGACCAGGTGCCATCTAAAAAATAAGATTCAAGATGTCTTATTGTGTAACAATTCTGGACAGTTTCCAATTCGCCTATGTGCAACAAACATGCCAATTGAAGATATTAGTTTCCCACTAAGGTAACCAAGGACATGAAAAATCAAAATATCATTTTTCCAATATTTTACACCAATTGGTAATTTGGTATCTCAAAAATTTCCCAGAAAGCTTGAACTCCCATAAGAAAAGTTCCAAGATTGAATAATCTTATCAAACCAACAAGGCCTAAAGACAAGCAACAAAAGTAAAAAAAATAAAAAAAATTAAGAAACTACAACCCAAAGCCAATAAAACAGTGCTGCTATTTCACTATATATAGACTTTCAGAACCCAAGATATTTCATACAAAACTCAGAATTTTTTATCTAAGGCATTCAATTAAAACCTTCAATTTTTATTTATTTATTTTGTGAACAGGAGCACCTTTAATTTATAAACAACCAAAAGTATGTGTATGACCAAATTCATGTCTTTAAAAGCTAAAATCTGAAGTATTCTAATCCAGATTAACAAGAATTCGTTATATGATATATGAAACTCAATCAAACGCATACATCATAGAATCCAAGGACATGAAGGTACCCACTCCTCCTATATGCAACATACATGCGACTTGAATGTATTCCTTTTCTTGTAAGCTGTTACCATCATGTCATCCAATGACATAAAAAAATCAAAATATTACTTTTCCAATATTTTCCCCCTATTTGTACCTTATAAATTTCCCAAAAAGATTCAACTCCCATAAATACCAAAAATTGCATCTATTATTGATGGGAACACGATGTTTCTCAATAGCTTTTCCAGCTGAAAGAACATAATTGACCTATAGCAAAGACCCACTCCAGTCAAAGCAGAGAAACTCCAGCAGAGAAGGAACAACTGCAATTCCCAAACTTCATACCAAAACATCATACAGGCAGCTGGAACTCCTCCACAACTGAGTTGAACTGTTAATGCTACTACCGCAATGTCCTTGAGGGCTTGAACCAACAGCTGCAACAAAAACTAGCTAAGCAAAAAACTAGCTGAACAGAGACATGAATAGTACGCATTCACTGCTGTTCGCTGGAAGCTGCTGCTATTCGCTGAGCCTCTGTGTTCTTGCAAAGTTAACTCCAATAATTCAACTACCAAAATCCAGCTATAAAAGAAAGGTTGAAATCCCAGACATAAGCGAAAAGAATCAATCTGAATAGTTTCATGAATAGTAATGTGAATAGTCCATCTTAAGAATTCCTCGCAAAATAGACCTATTAAATCATAAAACTCAGCTGAATTATTGAGCAACATTCCTCACCCTTAAAAAACGCATCTGCCTTTGATCTTGCTGCAGCAGATTGCGTGCTTCAGATGAAAGAGAATCAGCCAAAATGATTTCCTTATAAGCATATTCCTTTACTCCTTGGTTAGCTAGATAAGCACCATACAACTATCAGTTATACATTTTAAACACAAGAAAATTTATATTCCCAGGACTGTTCTGGTCAGAGTTAGAAATGATTAACTTTATTTCCTAACTGGTGGTAGTGATGAAGGTGGCATGCTTGGAGGTGCTGGAAATATTGGTTTGCTACTAGAGGTGGAGACAGCAATAGTGATGAAGTGGTGACATTGGGGTCGACAATTCAACTGTTTTTTTTTGTGGTCTTGGGAATTTTTTTAAACATAAAAACCACTTATGTGATTTGATGTGAAATTTCAAGTCANATATAAACCTTCCAAAAATATAGATCAATAAAAAGAACTCTCCATTCCCAACCCCCTTCCTCCCCTCCTTTATTAAAACCAAATTTTATTTATGTAAACAAGAATCCTTTNAGAGGTGGAGACAGCAATAGTGATGAAGTGGTGACATTGGGGTCGACAATTCAACTGTTTTTTTTTGTGGTCTTGGGAATTTTTTTAAACATAAAAACCACTTATGTGATTTGATGTGAAATTTCAAGTCATATGGAGCAATTAAGTAGAAGTACATCACCTGAAGTCCATCCCAACTTGTCAGCATAAAATGCACTCCTTGGAAGGACTGTTTCAGTACTGATATCTTAGAGCANAATCTACCATAGTTTGAAAAGGAGAGAAAAGGGGTGGAGGAACATATTTACCAAAAGTTNACATCACCTGAAGTCCATCCCAACTTGTCAGCATAAAATGCACTCCTTGGAAGGACTGTTTCAGTACTGATATCTTAGAGCATACACTTCACTTTGAAAGATTTTCTAAGTGACAAGTTTTAATCAGCTTCCATTCACTCAAAATTATAAGAAATGGTACTACTTAGACTGAAACAATGTCATGAAAGACACTTGTACATTTATAAAAGCTAAAATATCTGGTAGTTGATAACCCATGTAAGAGATGTGCCTTTGCCTATATAATTTCCTTCAGGTGTGCCGCTTAGGTTGAAGTGCTCAAATAACTCAATTATCCAACTGTGGTACCATACTCTGTGCTATAATTCCTATGTAATAACTAGGATTTAGGATACAAAATTTTGCTGATTTTATGACAAAAACAAAATCTTCAGTAAAATTTGGGAGACTATTAATCGGCATGAGCCACCTAATAGCTATGCCAAAAACAAAGTCACAATAATAATATTTTCAACTTACATGACCTGAGAAGACAATATCAACTCGGTATTGATACAGAAGTGATTCCATTTCCAACCTCATGCATTCAAATTCCTGGTAGTGTGAGGAGTAGCTATTGTACCAAGGCAGATGCCATGCAGCTACAAGCCAAGGGGTCACACTGCGGAGTTGCTTTATCCAGGTTATCTTTCAGCCAAGCATATTGGGCACCTATATTTACAATGTGACAAACATTAAGACTGATACCAATGAAATCTTCTAGTCGCAGTCGTGCTTTCAATCTCACGGGTGTCAAGCAAAAAATAAAAAAAAAATGTATTATCAATTATGATATTCAATAATATTGATAAAGAGAATGGAATCAATCACCAGAACTGTTGTAGTCAACATATGCTCCCAACATGATGAAATGTACTCCTCCAGCATCAAAGGAGTAATAAAAGTTACTGTTGGAGCCAGACTCATTTGAAGGAACAACAAATCTTGTAAGATATGATTTGAAAGTGATTCCGTCAGCTTGAGGCTCAATCTCATGATTGGCTTCTATAACCATCATAGGAACTCTAGAGATAAGGGGTTCCATCAACCTAGATTTCTAATTTAACTGTGTCAGTACACTGGAATGGATCGATTATTTTGCATATTATGCATCCAAATCCTTACAGCCTGTGCACATCATGCATATGTTAGAAGTACCCTAACGTAACTAGTAAGAAGTATCTTCGTTATTCCATTCATGCATGTAAGGCATGAAACAAAAATGGAACATAAGTACTCAAACTAAGAACATGTAGCTTGTATACTGGAACAGACTATAGTTGATGGAAAGGAAATGTGCGTTGATACGTTCAATCGAGTCCCGTTCTCTTTTCCTATTTTATAAATAACATGAAGTCCTGCCTAAATTTTGCATGTTATAACAAAAGCATTCCTTGATAGAATTATAGGAAGATCCCCTGATATTACAACAATGACACATGTGACGCCATCTACTCGAACAATGAAGATATATTAGGTTTGTCAATTTGTAATCACATATGTTGCCTTCAACTCCAAACATAGCAAAGAACTGTTTATTGGTCAGCAATTCCATCTTTTAAGCAGAAAACTTTAGTTATGCATCTAATGTAATATGGCTAACCTTTCTGAATAAGTAAATCTGCAACATGATGCTGGAACAGTCACTGTTTACGTAACTGTTCATGTGAGTGTTTAGCAGCTTAATTTCAGCAAAACATTTTATAGCCGATTTACCTTTCATCTGAAACACCAAACAGGCTGCATTGCTCAGATACATTACATCAGAGCAGGTTGCATCTGACCCAAAAGAAGGACAACACGAATTATTTAGATAGATAGATAGATAAATAAAACCTTGCCATATGTAGATAGATAGATAGATGGATAGATAGATAAATATGCAATTACCTCCCCACTTTGCCGGATCCAACCGAAACGCTTCCAAAGCACATTTCTGGCACATGGATTATGCCATGTCAATGTACTTGACAACACAATAGTCAATAAAGACTACACGGTGAAGAGCTATCCACGTTTGAAAAGCATCCAAGTATAGATTTTACCAGAGTATCTTTCCAGCAATTAATACAACTAAAAATGGTAAACAGCCTGCCAATGCCTTTCCTTCTACCATATTTCAAACAAATCAACACTTACACCATATAGCCAAACAATTAACCCTCATCATAACAAATGGGACTTAAAAGGCAAACCCCTCAAATACCATATTAAAACAACAATCACACATCAAAACCAAGATGGAAGCATTCAATATTTTAATACATAAAAAAAATATAATTCGTCAGCCACGAATTATGCAGAAGTCCCGAATTCATCTGTTAAAAAAAATACATTAATAAATACTCAATCAAATTTTTGTTTTTATACTTCTTAAGTGTTGAACTTAAAACGATAGTAAGAAGATACTTACTAAGACTCAGGTGGCATGTCTACATTAGTTGAGTTGCTCTGCAGAGCACGTTGCATTTGAAGTTGCATCTGCAAAAGTTTTTGCATCATTTGTTGCTGCGCGTCTTCAAACTTTTGCTATGCTTATTCAAACTTCTGTTGTGCTCCTTCAAACTTCTCTAGCTTCTCGTTCGTTCCATCACGTTCCTTCTGAAGAGAATCAACAGTTGCTTGTAGCTCTTTTATCATATCAGCTTGTTCTCGATACTTAGTAGTGGATCTGAATGAATGACTAGAGGATGAAGGCTTCGGACCATGTCCAAATCCTTTCTTATATCCAGATCAGCTACCAAGGACTGTGCATGCAATTTCATCCTGTGTCAATGGCTCTACACCCTCTTCTAAGTTCTGTGTGGCCAATTCTTTCGTTCGCCCCTACAATTTAATAAATTTAAACCCAATTATTAAGTGTATGAAAAAAAATTTATTTNTAACATGAAGTCCTGCCTAAATTTTGCATGTTATAACAAAAGCATTCCTTGATAGAATTATAGGAAGATCCCCTGATATTACAACAATGACACATGTGACGCCATCTACTCGAACAATGAAGATATATTAGGTTTGTCAATTTGTAATCACATATGTTGCCTTCAACTCCAAACATAGCAAAGAACTGTTTATTGGTCAGCAATTCCATCTTTTAAGCAGAAAACNAACCCACTCACCCTTCTTGTTCACATGAGAATCGTGGAAAAAATCAACAATGTGGGGATGGCGCATCAGTCGTAGGGTCCCTCTATTATAGTTAATCAAAATTNAACTGTTTATTGGTCAGCAATTCCATCTTTTAAGCAGAAAACTTTAGTTATGCATCTAATGTAATATGGCTAACCTTTCTGAATAAGTAAATCTGCAACATGATGCTGGAACAGTCACTGTTTACGTAACTGTTCATGTGAGTGTTTAGCAGCTTAATTTCAGCAAAACATTTTATAGCCGATTTACCTTTCATCTGAAACACCAAACAGGCTGCATTGCTCAGATANCCTATATATTAAAATTTAGGAAGCAAATGCTAAAGTATAACACCCTTTCATATAGTGTAGACTAAAAGGACTTTGAACCCATCGTGTGGTTGTATGGCAGTTTAGCACGATTTTTCGCATATTTCTTAGCTTTGTCCTATATACAAAGAATATAATTAATACACAATTAGGAATAAAAAGTGGATATTAATTTGCATAGCTTATAAAAGTTACCTGAAATTTTGGATCCTTGTAAAGTGTTTCAATTATGTACTCCCAATCCTCCTGACTCACGTCACCAAATGGCTTGCTCTTTGGGTCAACATCGGACTCAACCAAATCCTTGTAGTGCATATGCATATAGTATTGATGGTCCCTGTACCTCGCAGCAAATTTTTTGTCGACTGCCTTCCTAACACTGNATATAGCCAAACAATTAACCCTCATCATAACAAATGGGACTTAAAAGGCAAACCCCTCAAATACCATATTAAAACAACAATCACACATCNTGCCTTCCTAACACTGACTTTTTCATGATAGTCTCTAATGTTAAACTTTGTCTACAACAAAATATAAATATACAAATTAAAACCATCGGTTGTAACAATCTACACACGTAAATATATTGTTGAAACCAAACTAATATATCCACTAACCAACAATCGTGCAATTAGTGGTGCCTTTTCCTCCTCTATTATTTGCTTCCATGTGTGCACATTTCTAATAGGGGCAAACGTCCTCGCCAGTGAGCCAATCTTTGTCATCACCTTCGAAGAATGTACACCCACTAGAACGTNAGAAGATACTTACTAAGACTCAGGTGGCATGTCTACATTAGTTGAGTTGCTCTGCAGAGCACGTTGCATTTGAAGTTGCATCTGCAAAAGTTTTTGCATCATTTGTTGCTGCGCGTCTTCAAACTTTTGCTATGCTTATTCAAACTTCTGTTGTGCTCCTTCAAACTTCTCTAGCTTCTCGTTCGTTCNATCAAAACTTCAAGGGGGCCGTGAGATGCACGCATACGCTCAGCATTTTTCCCTCTACACGGTCCTCGACCTCGTTTCTTGGCGGTAGAAGCTGCTGCGCAAACATTAAGTAAAAAATATTAGCCCACCATAATAAGAAAAATATGTTTAGAAAGTAAAGTATGCATCAAACTTGTACTGCTACCCTCAGTGCTTGCAACAGGTTGTGATGTAGGTGCATCAGATGATACACCCCTAACATGTGTACTCGAGGATGCACACCTAGTAGATGCCTCGGAGGATGCAACCTTACTAGCTGTTTTGGTGGCTTGGTGACTAGGTCCCATATATATAAAACACCTGACATAANGAAGAGAATCAACAGTTGCTTGTAGCTCTTTTATCATATCAGCTTGTTCTCGATACTTAGTAGTGGATCTGAATGAATGACTAGAGGATGAAGGCTTCGGACCATGTCCAAATCCTTTCTTATATCCAGATCANGAGGATGCAACCTTACTAGCTGTTTTGGTGGCTTGGTGACTAGGTCCCATATATATAAAACACCTGACATAAAGAAATATATAAATTATATCGACAATATCCAAGTAGCTCACAAATATAAGTTATAATTTATTAATTACCATGAAAATATCTTAATAATTCATCTATATATATGATGATTCATCAGAATCAAAATAGACATTCACATCATTATCTTCTTCTGAATCGACATACTCAACTTGTGTCTCATCATTGTCATCACATATGAAATCATCAACGTTATTGTCTTCTTTGCTTCCCCACTGAACAATTCGGTCTCGATGAATGATTTCCCCATCAAGATCAGTCCTATGAAGTTGACCTATTTCATTATCTTCGACCACTACCAGAGCAATCTCTGTTAATTCATCCTGTTGGAATGCGTCACTTGGAACATACGATCCATTTTCACTAACTTCTACATCTTTGTTTTCAGGAACATCCCATATTCCTTGATGATGTATGTGTTGCACAACTTGCCAATCTCTACCCAATTTTGTATCATGAACATAAAATACTTGTTTCACCTAATTAGGTAGTACAAAAGGGTCATTTTGATACCATCTACTTTTCACATTAATGCTTGTAACATGAGCATCAGTCTGAACTGTTTTCCCACTACCAAGGTTGAACCATTCACATTGGAATAAAAAAAATACTATGGCCAAATATGTAACTCATCTCCCACACCTTATTTAAGTATCCGTAGAAGTTAATTGTTTTATTATTATGTTCTCCTTCTACAACAACCCCACTATTTTGACTTTTTCGACAGTTGTCACGCTCTTTAGTGTGAAACCGGACACCATTGCATATTGCACCAGAGTACACTTTTATTGTCACATTAGGACCGTTTGCTAGTGACCACAATTCATCAGTTGCTTCAAGTGACTCTTCGCCTCGTAATTGATTCATCTACACACATGGATATGGATTGTTTTTATGGTTTAACAATTAAAAACTACAATGAGAATACTCACAAATATGTATATTTAACATACACATACTCTAGATACAGATCCAGTTCGGGACTATTATGTAGGACAAACCAATGAGCTATCTCTCGTTCCTGTTGAGAGACCTCAGTT